CCTTACAATGTGAATGTAGCAATGTGCATTTGGGAAGAGAGGAAATCCTAGTACTTTCATTAAACAGGAAAATAATTACTTGTGGCTCCAAATAAAAGAATAATGTAAAACTACACATCATAAGACATATCATCATTCATTAGTAATGTATATATGTTTCTTACGTTAACTATTCAACTGGCTTGCCTGTACTTTGGATTAAGTGCAGGGACAAAGAGATGAAGTTAGTCTGCCTTTATCAACACCATTCCAGACAAGATTTCTTAAAGGAAGAGTTTATTTAAAGGAAATAAGCAAATAAACTCAAAGTCTCTCTGATTTGATAATCACTCCCAATCAGTCTCTTTAAATAGCAAGTCTGAGGGGTTTCAAAAGTCTATGAAATCATTAGGTACCGCTAGACATTCCCAGGCACATCATTTAGCTTCACTGTGTTCACTTCTTCATCCACAGAATTACAGATCTACAGCAGAACTAGAAGGGACATAAAGCCTTCTAATCTAACCCCATCATTGCAAAGATGAGAAAAGTGAAACTGGACAGGTTAAGGGACTTGCCCATACAGCTAGTAAGTGTCAAAGGTGGGATTTGAACCCAGGTCCTTGGATGCCAAAGCCAGCATTTTTCCATCGTGCTACACTGAGAACTGGGACAGCATCTGGTCTATCCCTGACTCTGCCTCTGTCTCTCTCTCTCTGTCTCTCTCTGTCTCTCTCTCTCTCTCTCTCTCTCTCTCTCTCTCTCTCTCACACACACACACACACAGAGGAACAGTAGTAAGAAAACCTGGAACTGAGTCCTGAGTTCTGCCACTTCCTTTCTCTGGGCCTTAGCTTCCCATCTATTCCCATCTATGGGGAATATTCCCCATATTCCCATCCTATTCCATAATGGATTTAAACTAGATGTTTTCCATTAAAAATCCCTTTAAATCCTTTTGTGAGTAAAACTGAGTTTCCTAGATCATTTCAGTCACAGGATCAGAGAATTTAGAGCTAGAAGCTGGATCCCTGGAGAACATGGCTCATGGAAGGGGGGATATTTCACAGAAAACTGGGATTAGATGAATGAAAAAGCACTTCTTAGGCATTTACTCCATGCAAAGCATACCAACAGAAAAGCAAAATAAGTTGGACCTGACTATAAGGAATCAATATGTTGTCAAAGATTTTCTGGGGGATGGGTATTAACCTATTTCAACAAGATGGTGCATAAAAGCTGAGTGAAGTGAGCAGAACCAGGAGAACGTTGTACATAATAACAGCCACACTGTGCGATGACTAATATTGACAGACTTAACCCTTCCCAGCAATACAGGGATCTAAGACATCTCCAAAGGCCTCATGATGGAAAATGCTATCCATATCCAAAGAACTATGGAGTTCGAATGCAGATCGAAGCTATTTTTTTCCTTCTGTTGTGTTTTGTTTCCTCTTGCTGGTGGTTCCTCCTATTGGTCTTAATTCTTACCTGCAACATCACTAATGTGAAAATATGTTTAATAGGAATGTATATGTATAGCCTATATCAGATTGCATGCTGTCTGGGGAGGAAGAGGGGGAAGGAAGGAGAGAAAAATTTAAAACTCAAAAGCTTATGAAAGTGATTGTTGATAATTCAAAATTAATTAAAAATTTTTTAAAAAAACATAACAGCAAAAAAAAAGGAGCATAAGAATTTAATAGCCCTAACAGTTAAGAAACCCAGAAGAATGCTGGTTAATGGAACTGGTAGACATTTTCTTTGGTGTGCTCAGAAAGGGTTTTAGATCCTTGCTCCTTAAAGCCACCATTCCATCAGAGGGTTCATTCCCAACTTCTCTGAAGCTAGAGGCATTTCTAGACAACAGAAATCTGTGTGAATGGAAATGAGCTTTGTATACAATCTTCCCGTCCAAATCTTCTCATCTTAGTTACATAATTGAGTCCCTTCATTTCCTGGGACTAAGGAGAAGGGGGAAAAGGAAATGAGAGAATGAATTTTGATTCAAATACACTAGAGAGAAATCCTCCAATCTTGCAAATCACTTTTCTTGCTGTGACTGATTTCCTAGCATGATCAAGTGGCCTTAACTTCTGGGTTCCAGTCAGCTTTAATACCACTGAGCCCCTTCTCCCACTCTTCTCTACATGAGACAACAAATGGCTCAGCAACAAAATTAGGGACTTCACATTCACACCTGGAACTGGTACTGGAAGCAGGGGAGGGAGATGGGAGCGAGGGGACAGAGAAAGTGCAGAATAAAGTTTACTCAAGATTCAATGAAAGGCACAGAACCTGGCCTAGAACTTGGGTCATCAGATACTCTTCAGAAGATGAATAAAGGAGGACATGGCTTTAAGAACAAAATAATGCTTATGCTTCTGGGGGAATGGTACTAAAAACGAAAGAACAGGATATCCTAAAATCTAAATTGGTTTTCTAGGCCTGCATTTTACATATAGGTTATATATAAAGAGATGGGAGAGAAGGAAAAAATCTAGGGAAAAAAACTAGCCAGTAGACTTAGCCTCTAATGAATCAGGCTGGCCTCTCCCTTAAACCACAAATCCTCATTCAGGGAACATGTAATTGGTCTTTGGGTCTTACTAAACATATATTTTATTTGGTGGCAAAGCAAAGGAGAAGGAAAGTAGGCAGGAAGCCACTTTGTCTCCAAGTTTTGAATTAACTCTAAATATTCTGATGTAGCACTACTTTCCCTTTCAATAGCAATTAAGATCCCAATACAATGCAAAGACAAAAAACTCAGTCAAATTCTTGTATTTTCAGTGCTACCTGACACGACAATTAAGTTTTAAAGTATGTAACAGAACTGGAATCCTGTACGTCAGCTTGGTCTTTGCCCAAACTGGTTTTACAAGGCTCTAGAACCTATATTGTATAAAGTTCAAGATTTCCATGAAGTTACCACATGTACCTTGACTGTTCATACAAATATTAGTCTTCATAACACAAAAAGGATAGCCATGTTAATTAATGGAGCATTTTAGGAGAAAAACACAATTTATATCTCCAAAACTATGTTGAGTTGGTTTTTTTTTTAAAGACTCGGTACCTGAAAGATTCACACGCACTTAAAAATAAGTAAAATGGGTAAAAAAAAAAAAGTCAGAAGCTAAGGAAATCCAGTGTTTTAATACTACAGAACACAAAGGCAACTAAAAACTTGCAAAGATTATCCAGAAAGCTAGCACTCCTCCATATAAACAAAGCGTGATGCAGGTTCATTTCATTTTTAATTCTGATACACTGACATTGTGCCAGACAGAGCTTTAACAAATTCAGAAGACAGAAGAGACCTCAGGCACACTGTAGTCCCATGTAAAAGCTCAGCTGAAGGAACCTGAGTTTCATTTCAACCTAAAGTGACTGAAGAACATGGTGAGATGCTCTAGTTTTACAATTAGAAGTAGTCCTTGGGATGTGTAGCAGACATTTTATCAGAACTAAAAGAGATTATCCCCTTTAATAATTTAATAAATTAAATTTTTACAAAGGGCTTCCAGAGCAAAGGAAGATGGTTTTTTATTCCCTTCTGGTATTTACTGGTAGTGCAGAATATGTTTAAAGGCAACTCAGTACTAGACTAAAAAGGTTATTAGAGTATGATGAGAAAAGATCACAAGAAGACTAAAAGAGGAGCCTAGTATGCCCTAGACAAGCCAGGCATCTTATAACTTCAAAATCATCTCTCTAATCATTCCTTTCTCTCCATTTCCACTAAAACTACCTTAGGCCAGGGCTTCTTCAGCTCATGTTCAGACTCCCCTAGCAGCTTTAGGATCATGCTTCTAGCTTACAGGTTTCTCCCTACTCTACTCCACCTCACAGAGTGCTGCCAGACTTAGCTTCCTACAACAGTCATTTCATGCCACCAATCAATTCCAAAACCTGTATAATACTTCACTCCTCCCCTTCAGGATAGGGTCCCAAGTTCTCATTCCGGCATTCAAGGCTTTCCATCTTCTCATCTTCACCCGGCTATTACTCTTATCTCTACCATTCCCTAGCATGAAACCTCAATTCCAAGGCAATATACTGTACTCCCCAAACAGATTAGGCTCTTTCTTGATGCCAAGATTTCTCTTAATCTCTCCACCCTTCCTTCCCAACCTATCAAAATTCCACCAACTCCACGGTAAGAAGCAATAAACATGAAGAGTTAGAAGAAATAAGGGTAGGCTTATATGAACCAATACAGAGGGAACAAAGCAGGATCAAGAGAAAAACAGATGCAATAACTGCAATAAAATATAAATGGAAATACTAAAACGCAATCCAACTTAGATTAAATGCAATGAACAATCTTGGTCACAGCAAACAGACAATGCACTACTTCCCTCCTCTCAATAAAGAGAAGGACTAAGGGTATTGAACACAGCATATGCTGTCACACTCAGTTACTATGATCAGTTTGGTCTTGTTTGACTTTTTCTTTGTTGCAAGGGAAGATTCAATTGTGGAGTGGGAAGGATATTGGCAAAAGGTTGCGATGAAAAAAAAAAGACAACAAAAACCCTTCACCTATTCTTCAAAGTCCAGTTCAAGATGTCTGGGAAGCATTCTCTGACTATTCCAGCCCATATTGATTTATTTCTTTTCTCTCAACTATCACGCTCATAGCCAATGACTATTTCGGATTTGCATTTAGTTACACCATACTGTATCATTACTCGCTTGTTTATATTTATGCCTTGTCTCCTCAGACTATACGTTTCTAAAGTACTGAGACCTATTTCACATTTTACTGGGATCTCCTTCAGGGCCTACCACAGACCTTTGAACATGAGTGCTCAAGAAATATTAGCTGAATGAACAAACAACTATACACATGTGCGAAGCTCTTAGAAATGCTACTTTTGTCTCTTCTACAAATGGGGACCAGAGTGTAACTAAACTTTCTCTTATCCAAACAGGTTAGCAAAATTAAAACTTATATCATTTTTCAATGGATTCAAAAACAGAAGATATGGACTCCTTTCAGTGCAGTTACTTACCGCTTTTCATTACTACATTTGACCAGACATTGGCATTCAAGGCTTGTATGATTCTCTTTACCCCCGTAGACTCTGGGAAGTCATCTAATTGAAGGAGAGGAAAACCAAATTTTACTCAAATTATGTTACATGTATAACTAAAAAAGTTTTTATAAGTACCTTATACATAGTAGATGCCCAGCAAATGCTGAGTACATAAGTAAATCTAATTGGTACTTTGATTGTCAAGCAAATTTAGAGATTACTCCACTACTGATAAGACTATTCTGTAAACTAAACTCCATAAAGTGATAGACCACTGGATCTGGAATCATGAAGAACTGAGTTCAAATCTGGTCTCAGATACTTACTAGCTGTGTGACCCTGGGCAAATCACCTACCCTGTCTGTCTCAATCCACTGGAGAAGGAAATGGCAAACTACTCCAGTATTTTTGACAAGAAAACCCCATGAATATATGGTCCACAGAATCACAAAGAGTAACACACAAATGAATGATATAATGGACAATGATATTCTATGCAAGACAGCTATCCCTAGGACTTTGGGACTTCTAGATACTAACAGAAGCAATAACAAAAATTGTCTAGAGAGAAACTGAGGGGTCTTTGAAGGTAGGGACTTTGTCCTCTACTCAGTGAGTAAACCCAAGCATCTAGTATAGTGCAATGAATCCAGTAAGTTCTCAAAAGAGATAAATGGTAACAATATAATAATAACTAATATTTACATAGCATTTTAAGGCTGGCAGAGCACTTTACAAATATTATCCCATTTTATCCTTACAATCACCTTGGGAGGTATATTTTATCACCCCCATTTTACAGATGAGGCAACTGAGGCAGACAGGTTAAATAACTTGCCCAAGATCACACAGCCACACAGTGTCTGAGGATGAATTCAAATTTGGGTACTGCTGACTCCAGATTTAGCATTCTATTCACCATGCCACCTAGCTGGTTGCTACTTAGTAATGGAAAGTGCTTAACTAAGTATTTTCTGATCAAAAAATAAAGATTTAATATGTGGCAAGTAAAGTCATTAGAACTTGTCATTGTAACAAACAAAAGGACACTATAAACAAGAAATAAGACACTGAGAGATCTTCTTCTAAACAATGGGACAGTCATCACAGCCACATTTCATTAGGATGCTGTTAACTTTAAAATAAATTACATGGGGAAGCATTCCTTATTTTACGACAACTACTGGGAAAGCTGAAAAGCAATCTGGCAGAAATTAGGCTTTTGGAGGAATGGCTGAAGAACCTATGGCAGAGAAATGTAAACTGACTACTACAACATCATAAGAAGTGACAAAGATGAGGAACTTACATGAGAAAATTTATATGAAACAATACAGGATAAAATGGAGCCCCAGAGAACATCCATACAATGAGCAGGGCTTAAACAAAGAAGGTGAATTTGGAATAACCATCGTAACCAGCCGCAGTCCCACAGAAAGATAAGGAAATGCACATGTTCTCTGTAGGTAGAGACGTGAGAGATGACAGACATGGACCACTGCACAGTTTGCCAGGGTGGACATTGCACCAGCTGGTTTAACAACTATTTTTTCCTGTTATAACAGAAGGCTCATTTTGCATGTATGTATGGGAGAACTATGATGTAAAAATAACAGGCATCAATAAAGTATATCTTCAAGAAAAAAAATTATGGTCTAGATAACAGATATAAAGTAGCTACCTTAATGGAAATATTTATACTTTCAGTGATTTATAATTTCATGATTATAGAAGGAAAAGACTAACATTAGAAAGCATTCTCAACTGATTAAACACCCATATTCAAAAAGAGAAAACAGGAAGGGAGATCTCTAATGGCACGGCATGCCAGAGGGCTCAGTTATTGGCCCAACATTTTTACCAAAGCCTCAAATGAAAATAGGCTTATTGAATTTACATATGATACAAAACTAATCCTTTAGAAGAATTCAAAAATATCTCAAAAGGATGCAACAATAGGCGCAACCCAAGAAGATGAAATGTAACAAGGATCAATGTAAAGACATATAATTTAGGTTTGAAAAGTAGCTGCTTAAGGATAGGCCAAGGGAGGACTAACTTGACAGTAGTTCATGTGGAAAAAAAGAATGGAAGCTAACACAGTTGCTGCTGCTAAAAAAGCTAATATAATCTGAGACTGAATCAATATTAATACTGTTCAGTTTAAAGTAGGTAATAGGCCCACTGTACTCACTGATAATCTGACAACATCTGAGATATTATGTTCAGTGCCAGATACCATACTTTAAAAGACAGAACACATCCATAATGGTCACACAGCTAGAAATAATGTTTTAAGGAAGCTGCTAATTAGCCTTGGAGAAGAAAAAAATTCAATTCCGGTTAGAGCAGGGTAGTGGGCAGAATATTATGAAGATCTTCAAATAGCTGATGAACTGCCATTTGGAACAGAAAAAAGACTTATTTCTGTTCCAGAACTAAAAATCAAGACCATTAGGAGGAAGTTAATTTCAGCCAAGACAAGGAAGAACTTTAACAAATAGCTGTCTAATAATGGAATGGCCTACCTGTCAAAGTTAAAAAGCATTCAAACAAAAGCTCGATGGCTATCTTTCGGGAATGTTGTACAAAGCATTTGTATATTGGAAAGGAGCATGGACTAAACAACTTCTGAGATCCCTCTTAATATTTTACTTCTATGAAGAAACTGGTTAAGGTTTGAGTCAGAGTTGGAAAAGAATAAGAGAGAACTACCTTTTCAAGAAAAAATGACAATATATCTAGGTACCATATTATTAGGAAGGCAATAATGAAAAAGTTTAAAAAGATCTTTTCCTGAAAAAAGGGCATTTAGGATACCTCACAAAATATAAAACTCATATCTATTCACTGTTGCTGTGAAATTCAACTCCTAGCATTCAAGAAGCTAGAAGTTCAAAAGGATAGTAGCAAAAAATGACTTAGATTGAAGCAGCTAGGTGGCGCAGTGGATAGAGCTCCGGCCTTGGAGTCAGGAAGACCCAAGTTCAAATGCAGCCTCAGACAGTTGACACTTACTAGCTGTGTGTCCCTGGGCAAGTCACTTAATCCCGATTGCCTTACCAAAAAAACAAACAAAAAAAGTCTTAGATTGACCATGCTGAGTTTATGCAGGCCTGATAACATCCCCAGTTGATACACTGCAAACACTTCCAGTATTAGTAAGTACTTTTAGACCTAGTGAATGAATACACCAGGGGACCAATAAACCAGATGATTAGCAAAACAAAAACAGTAAAAATCAGAAACAAAAAGCCACAGTGGTTTGAAAGCTGAAAGCTGTTTGCAATGTTAGGCAGCAGATCAGTACAGCCACAAGAGGCAAGGTGTTTCAGCATGTTGTTGAAACTTTGAGGCTGTTTTATACCTCTTTCTGTAAATGTTTTGAGAAAGTGGGGAAGGCAGACAATACAACCACTTATAATGACCCCTTTAAAAAGCCCCAACATCCTGGCTGGTCATTAGTCTCGATGCTACAGCTTAGTACAGATGCAACTTTAGCAACACAATTAAACCAACCCATCAAAGTCATCCTGTTAAAGAAGCTCCTCCTTTTAAGTTGATGTTACATAGCTTTCTAAACACAATGGCTACCTATCTTGTCATTTCAGTTACATATGTGTTGGATGAACCAGAAAGTTAGGATCTGTTTTCCAATATTAGAGTTGTTATTAATTTTAAGGTTAACTGGGAGCTCAGAGCTTTAGGTAGAAACAGGGTATGGTATAAATGAATTGAAATTTTAACAGAAAATATTTCAAAATAAGAGAAGTGTTGAGCCTTGAAGTTAGTGTGATAATAAAATTCTAAAAGAAGAAACATTCACATTTTAATAACAGAACACATGTTCAGGGAGGTTTTAAAAAAGACAAAGAAGGTATTGTTTTATTTGTTAATCTCCATCTTCAATACTTTTTTAGAATTTGAGAAAAATAGCCTAGATCTTTCATTTCAATTTTGTGCTTCCATCATCTGACAATATCTTTCTTCTCAAGGAGAAGACATTTTGGAAAACATCATAAAATAAACTGGGGCACAGAGGGATTCTAGAAATACCTATTTTCATACCAACTTCCTAAAGAACACTCATGAGGTTTGTATGATCCCCTACATATTCCTCAGTCTGCTATTCAACATTCTCTATAACTTAGCCCCAGCTTGCGTCTCCAACCTCATTTCTCATTGCTCCTCTAAAAGACCGGCTATTCTAGCCAGACAGGTTTCTTCCCTGTCCCCTCCTCACCAGGACCATTTCTGTTCCTTCCCTTTTGTTTCCACTGCTCTTACCTATAATTCCATTCCCCCGCCCCCGCCCCAGCTCCAATTAAGAACTACCTTTCTCTAAGTCCTGTACAACTCTGACCTCCACAGGCCCTCAACTCCTCCAGTGCTTGCTATCCATACTACTCACCTGGCAGTTAGCACATTACCCTAGTATCCCAGCTAAACTTATTACAAACTTGTTGGCACCTCTTCCTACCCCCAGCAATTAGCACAGTATTTTATATACAGTTGGAACCCAAGAAATGTTTTTGGATGACAATGAAAATGCAGAGTCTAAAATCTGATGATACTGTAGTGTATGAAATCCTCCTTTGGATACTAGGAAGAGCCAATTTCCTACACTGTCCAAAACCTACATGCTCTTGCATCCACGGTTTTTCCTACAACCTCCTTTAACCAGAGCTACCACCTCAGAGAAACCATGCTAAGTTTGCTTGGCTCTAAGAGATCCAAAAGAACAAATAAGTAGATACGACAGTCCCAGGGTCACTTTAGGAATTCAGTCCTCAGTTGCTAAAAGATTGAGATAGGGTGCGGGGGAACCTCAGTTCAACAAAATCCATTATGAAGAGGCAGACTTTAGCATTTTTTGTAAAAAGGGTAAGAAAGGGTCTACTCCACTAATTCAGCCTAAACAAGAGAACTTTTTGCAAATTATTGACAGTCAAGTGAATGAATCATTATTTATTCTAAGTCTTTCAAACAGGTTAAAAATGAAGAAAGCTTTCTGATTTTCATTGTGACTCTTGCCACATGAGAGAATGTATTTGTATTCTCTCATGCCTAGCTTAGATTGCTGTTTTCTACTGAAGCAGATATACATTATAACCACTTACCATCTTCCTCAGGTAATTCTTCTGGATTAAGTTCTACCAACTCAAAGCCATGTTGGATGCACCATTCTTGAGCTTTTGGTCGGTTTACACCTAAAGAAAGTAAAAATAATATGTGCACGAAGATAAAACACTAAATGCCACCAAAGTACAGGCTTTATGCCTCTCTAATTTTCCTCCTTAACGACAAGTTTTAAAATGGGGAAATTACACATATATCTATAGATATAGATCTATACAGACATATGTATATCTACATATATACAAATGAAACTAAAGATTCCTGACCAAAAATTTTTAAAAGGCTCATTTTCAAATACTTCATACTTTTTCAAAAAGCCTTTGGCTAGCTAAAAACTGTCAGAAATATAAAGCCTTCAACATACTACACAGCATTTTAATTTAAGGAAATGCTCATATACTCTGCATACCAAGAAATTGGCAAATGTGTACTATTTTAGCATCTCACCATTTTCAGACACTCTGTCACAAACCAAGATCATCACCTCTGGTTGCCATTCTTCTGTCAATGGAAGCCATGATGAAACACTGTCAAGACCAGATTTCTTGGGGAAAATATCAAAAAGTACACATTAAAAGATGGTTTGCATCAAGCTGCCCCTCTCCTATCCCCACTAAAAAATATAAAGAACACCAAGTAAACCAACAAGGTCTCTTATAGGGACCATGAAAATACAAGTTCTTGGGGCAGCTAGGTGGCACAGTGGATAGAGCTCTGGCCTTGAAGTCAGAAGGACACTGAATTCAAATCCAGTCTCAGATACATGACACTTACTAGCTGTGTGACCCTGGGCAAGTCACTTAACCCTGACTGCCTCACCAAAAAGGCAAAAAAAACTCCAACCAAACAAAAAACAAGTTCATACTTGGGTGCTGTCAAAGTAAACAATGAAAGCCTGGACAGCCTCTGCGATTTCAGCTGTGACGAGGAATCTATTTGCCACCACACACAGATTGATGTCTGCAGAATAGTATTTGTTATCAATAGTCCAGGGGTAAAATCTCACACCATTGTTGGCAGGCGTATCTGCAGCAAGATCTTCTGTTCCAAGAATATCTGAAAAAGAAAAAATTGCACAAAAGTTAATATGTAGATTGCAAAACCAATACAAATTATCACATTTAACTACTACAATTTACAGACTCACTGGATGTGGGATTAACCAAACTGATACTTCAGTTGTGTGTGCCTTTTGTATGTAAATTCCAAAGAGGCTTATATTTTAATGTATATTCTCAAGTATATCCATAGAATCTACAATGGGAAAGGGCATTAGAGATCATCTAGTCTAAATGAGGATATTACAGCTGAGGAAAATGAGACCAGAGAGAAATGCAGGGGCTAGTTCAAGTTCACACAGTTAATAAAGAGCAATGCAGGCCATAAATTCAGGTTCCTTGTCTCTACGTCCAGTGCTCTTTTCATTATAGTGTGAGAAAACAGTGAGTAATAATAGTGAGATGTTCTCTAACTTAGTGACTTTTTCATCAACAAGTATTTACAGATGCAACAATAATGACAAACAGACGAGACAGCTGATAGGAGCAGTCTTATAAACAGCCATCTGTTCATTCACCAGGGAGAACACTGATTTATGCCAGGTGGACAGAAAAGAACGAACACTAATTTCATTCATTTTACTATCTGGGAATTTGATGGAAGAAGGAGGGCAGTAACAATTCTGGTGAGCTTGTATAGGTTGTGACCTAATTAGCAAACTGCAGTAAACGCAGGGTTAACAGTGACCTGCTACTAAAATAGGTGATCTAGCCACATTTCTTGGGCTAACCGCCTATATATTTTTAGCTAATTAAATATCAGATGCCATTTCATTTAGATTTATGTACATTCATAAAGTTTCTCCGAAAATAAAATTTTATTAAAATTTTTGTTTCACTAAGACACTTTAAATAAAATTTTAAATGTGCAATTTCTGACACAGTATAGCTCTGAGAAGATGTAATGAACATTTTCTAATATAACTAAATCCTCTTTTAGAAATACACAGGTGAGGAGGAAATAACTTTAATTGTGCTGACCTTAGGGCAAGGAACCAAGCCTCAACATATACAGTGATATGAGTGACGAACAAATAAATACAGGTGTGGGTTATGGAGTGCACAGAAACAGTCTATTTGACCACTAGCTGAATCATTAGAAAAACTACAGTTATAAGACACTAATTTTGAAAAGACAAAGCACTCTTCATGCTCACAACTTACAGAATATTTATAATCAGGACTTAAATTTTAAATCCTAGAAATAAGAATATGCACTTTAAAACCCTCTACCATTTTGGTTGGTTATCATAGCGTGAAAGGATTTGGGGAGAAATGAGGAAGAGACGTTGACAATACATTCCAGAAGGGGGCAAGGAATACATCAAAAGCACATATTCTTTCATTTGCTACATCTGTCATGCTGGTCCACATCATTACCATAACAGGCTGCCTCAAAAATGAGATCTCTCTGAAAGGACAAAAAATTCTATGAAATTATTACTAGTACATTCGTTTATCTTTTTTTTTCCATTTCCAACATCATTGCTCTCTTTATTTTTGCTACTTAAAAGTATCATTCTCTTATTCTCAATCTCCACATATGTTGTCACCCTCTCTTCTATCTACTAAGAGTGTGATTAGGCTATGCTAAGATTTCACACAAGCCAGATTTTGGAGGGGTGACTGGGGTGGGAGGGGGGTTGGATGATGCAGCAGAGATTAGGGAAGGAGTATATTCTACATTCAGATTAATACCATATTGCCTTTATTATAAGGAAACATAACCTTGCTCATGACAAAATCTCCTAAACTGTCAGTATGTCATGGAAACTACAACCTTTTCTTCTGAAACAATTCTATTTTGAATTTTACTCCCTCTTCTGCTTTTTTTCTCTTGGTTAAAGCCCTAGTACTCTCAAAGTGTTGCTATTTTTTTATTTGTTCTTCTCCAAACCCATGCCTATGATTCCTATTACTATCAACAAAAGGCTTATGCATCCATTGAAAAGGCAGAATTTGGCCCTGCATCTTTAAGAAATGATCTGCTCCTTCTGCTTAATCTCTACCTGAAGTCATAATCTTTTCTTTGGTGTCAATCACAGCAACCAGCTGCAATGTCCCTCATGGTGGATTATGACAAGTTCAGGTGGGAAATAAGCAGTAGGAACAGATGAGTTATTAAAATCAAAGGTTCTGTTTTCATGTAAATGTCTCAGAGAAAAAAAATCCCTGGATCAAAGTCTGTATTACACTCAATGCTAATTTTCCAAACCTCAAGCAGGTGGCATAGCAATATGTGGTTGTTTTTCTTGGAGATAACTACTGCACCACTGATACACACTTCATAGTATATACATATGGAAAGCAAATTGTCATAGGTTCATAGAGTGTGTGTGTGTGTATGTATATATGTGTGTGTGTGTGTATATATATATATATATATATATATATATATATATATGTACGGAAAGCAAATTGTCGTAGGTTGGGTTAAAAAAATGATCTTTTTTTTGTTAAAGACTCACTGCCATATGGAATCAATCCTCATCTGTGGGTAATTTTTTTCAATAACCAGCTAACTTATTTGTTTGGCAAAACCACCTTTCTTCTCAGCACTTAACGAAACCAGAAGCTCTCTATTTCTTGAGCTGGTAGTTGATATGCATTAAGTTGATTTCTGGCAGTGTGTCCACATCATTCAGTAATTAGAACTGATATAATCACTCAAAAGTTCATAGTATTACTCAATTTGGTATATTAGTTTAATATAGCTTTGGTCTGGAACTGTGATGGCATCACTATAGAGAATTCTCAATGTAGAAACTATCTCCACCAATTCAGATCTGCAACTTGTCTTTAACTTACAGTCTTGGAAAACTGACTGGGGGACGGAGAAATTAAGTGACAACTTCTGATCACACAGCTAATATGTGTCAGAAGTTACATTTGAACTTGGGTCTTCCTGACTCCAAGGTGATCCTCCACTCACTAAAATAAGCAGTTTCTTGTACAACTTATTCTTGACTATTAATTTCAAAATGGTCTATTCTACTGATGACTTTTAAGAGTACAAGTTGGTAGATCCATTTTTTAAACACAGGAGCTATATAAATCTCATCTTGATTGCACACACATACACACACATACACACAGTGTTAGAAGAGTCTCTAGATAGATACATTAGATAAATACACAGATAGATTCTCTGTAGAGGTCTAGTTATACTTGGAAACACACTTGGATGATTGGTAAAGATAACAACTGTGAGAAGGAATCAACAAAAAATAGTTGTTTCTATTATATTGCACTGTCTAAAACATGATGAAAGCTTAATTTGCTAATTAGGTTTTATCTTAACATTTTCTTTCTAATAGAAACTTATAATAGTGAAGCTGTATATGGATTTTATGATCACATCTGTGCCATATTAGGACTATGGAAAGAATAGTGAGAATATCTTATTTTACTTCTTGTTGCCTCCAAATATCAAGTATGGTTTAATTTAGCAAACATAAATGTCTACGTTAAGAACAGCTTTCGTTCCTCAGTCAACTTTGCTAACTGGTTCTGGGTATTTGTTTTCACCACTACCACAAAACCCTCTTATCCAATTAAAGTCATTCAAACATCCAGAAACAATCATGTAGACTCAGAAAAAGAGAACCACAGCATCACAAATGTTAGGGCTAGAAGAGACTCTCAGGGATCTGTTAGTTCACCCTTCCTCATTTCTCAGATTATGAAACTATGGATAATAGAGTTTTAGTGACTGGCCTAAGGTCACACCATTAATTAGTACAAAGTGAGGGTTAGAATCCTGGTTTCCAACTGTACTTAAAGTGAGAAAGGCCCAGATCCTTCAGAACTGAACAAAATTTTAATAAAAATAACTATTAAAGTTAATCCAAAAGTAAGCCACGCCTTTCATGGTATTCTATGCACATCAAAATAGCAACCAGGATCAACACACCAGGATATGCGAACCTGCAGGCAAAATTACCAATCAGGGATCAGTCTTCTGAATTATACCTGTGGGTTTCCAGTGTTTACCTGTCCAAAATGAGTCATGTGTTTCTTAGGATTTTGACTAGACTTGCTAGAAAAACATGCCCTGGTCTCACTTTTGTCCTACCCTAAATTAAATTTTGAATGGTTAACTCTGATGTATACAACTAAAATTGGGGACATTTCCATGACCCCGACCTACTGCAGCATTTTTTCCATAGTAGTACATAATTTCATTTCATGTTGCTTGGCAGCCACCTGGCGAAACTAAGATATACACACACACACGGAGAGAGATATTTCTCTCTCTATACACACACACACACGCACACGTGTGTGTATATATATATGTGTATGTTTTTTTCTTTTTTATAAATGGACAAACACTGAGTCATAATTAACTTGGTCAATCTTACTGAAAATGTTAGTCTACTATATAAAATAATATGTAGCATAGTTAATAAAGAAATGAATCATTATTCTGGCTTTAGCAGAAAATACAGAACTTTTTCAAGTTCTACAAGGTCAAACAAAAATTATTTGGCCATATGTCATTCTCTAACCCAACCCTATATGCACCTACTCTATGTGCCAGGCCGTATGCTAGGCAAAGGGAATGTAAAAGAACGAAATAAAAAAACAGTCCTTGTCCCCAAGAGCTAACCTTTTGCTCTTGCTAGGGCTGCAAGCTTCTTTCCTTTCAACTCCAATTTACTTTCTTACTTCCTGTTGACCCCAGGCAGACCCCAAAACTAGGAGACTAGAAAGGAAGATCAAATTGAGAACTGCATTCTAGCACATCATTTCAGCTTACTCTCTAGAAGCAACCATATTTTTAAAAATGCTTGTTATCTTATGTCTTTTTTATTACCTTCATTTCTGAAAATATACCTCCCAACTTCCCCATCCCTCAAAATCATCCCTTGTTAACAAAGAATAAAAACCATAAGGAGAAAAAAAAGCAGTTCTGCAAAATTAAGCAATACATCTAATAAAGTCTCCTGGTACATTCAATGCTACAAACTAGAGTCTGCAAAAAAGGGAGGGGGT